ATAATATCTGCTGAATTTAAGCATCGATCAATATTATCCACCAGCAGATGGTGGTTTTGTTGTGCTTTTGGGATATGATTTAAAACACATCATGGTGTAAATATAGAGAATAGTTTTAATTAACTGAAATGATAAGGAATATTTAGCATTTTGTTTATTAATTATTTGTAATGTTATGGAAAATCCATAACCATCAAAATAAATAATCTGACAGCCATTGATTTAGTGTATACTAGAGTAAATACTGGTGTGGAGCAGTAATGAAGATAGAAGGAACAAAATAAGCATACAAATTCTGACAAGGGGAAAAGACCCATAGCTCCTGTCTGTATTAGTGCTGCATGTACTGTAAAATAACACATTTCCTTTGCACTAGTTTTACAGAATCAAAGATAACCATAATAGTTTTAAAATAATTCTTTTTAGGTTTTTAGGCTAAATCTGGTCCGTCCCTCATAGTCTTGATTTTGTCTAGAAATAATTGTTGAAAACTGGGCTGTGTTTAGTCAGTCTGATTTTGTCCCACTTTAGTCCAATAATAGACGTCAAAAGACGTTGCTTTTTCAATGGTTTTTCAATGATCTGAAAATCAAATATAGACGTCGTTTGGACGTAAATGATGGTGTCTTTCAACGTCTTTTGAACAAGTTTTTCCTCGGTGAGGTTTTTCAAACTTGCACCAACACAACTGGAAAGTTGTCCTTGTTAACACAAAATGCTGATTCGTTTGAATCACCATGTCTGCTCTTTGACCGGCTACTCAAAGAGCTATTACACATTTTTCTGCTAATGTGCGTGCTCTCTAGTCATGCTACAGTATAGTGCAGCAAAGAGAGAAGCCATGAAAAACTACAGTAAATATCTACCTATCTATCTATCTATCTGTAAATATCTATAAAATTGGCAACACTATTGCTCATAAAACATGTCAGCCATTCAATACTGGATAAAGCTTTAATAGATATAGCACTGATTTAAGCCAGTTTTATGGTTGCAATGACCCGGTTGAATGAGAATTTACACAGACATCTATAGTCATTAACTAAGCCCTTTACCAGGCCCCATTGATCTGCCCAGTACCAGAATTGCTTTAATTCATTTTAATTCATTAATTTTAGTGTTTCGTTATGAAGATAAATGGAGCTTTATTTTTTAAATCATTCAGTCGTTCTATGGTTGAATGCATGCACATGCTGTATTTTTAGTGTTATATGTAAATATTTCCCATAAATAATTTGGGCAAGACACAAAAGAGTATAGAGTGGCATTTGGTATTTTATTTTTTGAGTCAGTTTAGATTTAAGGTTAATCTGAACTGGACAGCTGATTTCAGTCCTTCCTCTGGATCGGGTGCTTTCTGCTCCGTAATGTTTTTCTAATTCAATGTTGAGACTTTTTTTTTTCTGTAGTTTCACACTTATCTCCATGTTTGAAAAACTTGCAGAAAGCTCTGAATAAGCAAAAACGCAACAACAACCCAAAAAAAAAAAAAAAAAGCCTCAATGGCATAAAAGCTTTGAGTGTTTTTGGGAAAGCAAGAGATCACCCGCTGGTTATCTTTTTGATGGTAGATCTAAAGGAACAGCATCTTCACTTGAGCATCTTTTATCCCCTGAAATGTAAAAAAAAACACTTTTTGTAAAGTCCATCTAGCTTCGCTGGGGAGGCTTTAATAATAAACACAGTTGTGATATGTGTTTTCTGTATATGTCTCTACAAAGGAGGCCTTGAGGTGATGTAGTCTTTTTATTTTGTTGCCTCAGAGCGTCGTAAGACCATTTCTGTGCTGCTTTTGTTGCACGTCCATTGGCACGCAAGTTCTTCTGTGAGGGAGGAGCTGGGAGGATGGCAGCAATGATGATGGGCTTTCTGTAAATTTAACACAATTTACATTTTTACATTTTAATGTTTTATTTTGTCCCAAGTGAGACAAGATTAGATTTGCATGTCTGGTTTGCAGCATATCACCATATTGAAATATGTTAACTTCACAAAAAACATTTGAAAAAGGCCTTTTAACCTTGAGGACTCAGAACCAATTAGCTAAGATGTTTTGACAAGTTACCTTAGTTAAAACACATTTCTTGGCATGATCTTCCACAGGCATAATTAATTTTAGATATAAGTGTCCTTTCTTACCTTGGCTTTCAATTTCAGGAATGGGTGAGAGTCCTAATATTTAAAAAAAAACAACCAGATGTCAAACTACGACAAAATATTGTTGATTATTGTGGATTTATAGGGACTATTTTTCCTTAAAAACTTACCAGACAAAGACTGAAACCTCTTTACTCGGTAAGCTTTCCCTGTTGGATGATGTAACCCATTTGTTAGAATAGCTTAATAGTTCCACAATAAATCAAATACTTTTTTTATGATCCTGCTAACTAAAACAACACCAAAGTCAAATTTTAATAGATAGA